TGAGTTTTAAGCCACCGGGTCCGGGATGCGAATCGCAGTTGACTACGTGGGAGTCCAGCGACATAGCCATTACGCTAACTGCTGGTTCCCACCTCTATTTTTTTTAAGAATTATTTTATTTAACTTTACTTTATTTTAATTTGACAGTAGTGACAGACTGAGAGAGAGAGAGAAAGATGGAAGGTGAGAAAGCAAGCCGCCATGTCCGGGACTCGAACCGCGGTTGGCCATGTGGTAGTCCAACACCCTTAACCACCATGCCACCTGCCGGTCCCGCTTCCTCCTCTATTATTGACCTGGTCTACGATCTTATTTCACTTAGATTATTGAAGTAGACTTCTAAATGGATGCCCATGCCAACTCCTTCTTCTCCATTCTCTTGGGATTTTAGACACATGTACACACATCTAATGTGATTTTCAAGTTGCCAGGTCTGGGACTTGAACCATGGTTGGCTATGTGGGAGTCCAGCACCTCAACCACCATGTCACCCGCTTGCCCCCCAAGTGGTCTTTTAATTGACTACTATTTTTTTTTTTTTTTTTTTTTTGCTAGAAAGACAGAGAGAGACAGAGAAACAAAAAGTGAGAAGTCACCCCCCCAGGGAGATGGCCATGCCACAATCCCGTCTCCTCCATTCTCTTCTCAGGATCTTGGGCACACATGCCCACGTGCTCAGCATGAGCTTAAGCCACTGGGTCTGGGACTTGAACTGTGGTTGACGGCATGGGAGTCCACGACATAGCCATTACGCCAACTGCTGGTCCCTCTTATTTTTTTGGAGAGGTTTTTCGCTATAGGGCACGTGCACTCGCCAGACAGACAGAGAGAGATATAGAGACAGAAAGCGAGAAATCACCCCCACAGCGGGGATGGTCACGTCGCAATCCCTTCTCCATTCTCCTCTTGGGATCCTGGGCACACACGCACACATGCCCGGCGTGAGTTTTAAGCCACTGGATCCGGGACGTGAACTGCGGTCGACTACGTGGGAGTCCAGCGAAATAGCCATTACGCTAACTGCTGGTTCCCTTTTTTTAAAAAATGGGTTTTTGTCATAGGGTGTGACAAAAAGAGAGACAGAGAGGGAAAATGAGAAATCTCTGAGGGGAAGGCCATGCTACAATCTCTTGTCTCCCATTGTACTCCTGGAATTTTGGGCACGTATGCACATATGCCAGGTATGCTTTTTCAGCTACCAGGTCCAGGACCTGAACTGCTGTTGGCCATATGGGAATTTAGTACTTTAACCATCACGCCACCTGCTGGCCCTTGTATTGTCTATTCTTGTTTTCACTATTTAGTACCAACCAGTAGCCACAGTGTTTTCCTTTTTCTTTTTAAAAATAATTATTTTACGGGACCAGCAGTTAGTGTAATGGCTATGTTGCTGGACTCCCACGTAGTCGACCGCGGTTCGTGTCCTGGACCGGGTGGTTTAAAACTCACGCTGGGCGCGTGTGCGTGCATGCCCAAGATCCCGAGAGGAGAATGGAGGAGAAGCGCTTTCTGTCTCTCTGTCTCTCTCTGTCTGTCTGGTGAGCGCATGCGCCCTATAGCGAAAACCTCTCCAAAAAAAATAATAATAATTATTTTATTTAACTTTATTTATTATTATTTTCTGGCTTGATCAGAGAGAGACAGAGAAAGAGATAGAGCGAAAGTGAGAAAGGAAGCCACCAGGTCCAGGACTCAAACGGTGGTTGCCCATGTGGGGTCCAGCCAGTGCCTTTAACCACCCTGCCACCTGCTGGCCCCTACAGTCATTTCTTAAAACGTAAACCAGGTGAGTCATTCTTCTGGTTAAGAATCCTGAGCACTATTTACGTATATATTCCAATAAGGTGTGCTGTCTGGCTCATATCTGTTATGTGAATGTATTTCCTGTCCTAGGAATGTTTTCTGTATGCATATCTCCACATATGAAAATAGTCACTCTTGTCTCATCTACTCTGCTTTAGTTAGGTTTACCTCTCGATATGTTTTCACTACTCCCGGGATGTCATGAAAAATTGTTGCAGTTCCTGGACTCTTGGCCACTCCAACTCCAGTGACAATGTCTGTCTGTAGAATATTGTCAGCAGAAATCATCCACATCCCAGATTCACCTAGGAAAGGACAAGATAAAGAGTACTTGGCTACGGCCTTTGATAGAAATCACTTCTCACGTTATTCAGACTCAAATCAGCAGACTAGTCAAATATACAGATATTTCTTCCCAGGAGGGACACACAGCTTTGATGATACCTTCATTTTCTTTCTTTCTCCTTCTTTCCTTCCTTCCTTTCCTTCCTTCCCTTCCCTTCCCTCCCCTTCCCTTCCCCTTCCTTCCTTCCTTCCTTCCTTCCTTCCTTCCTTCCTTCCTTCCTTCCTTCCTTCCTTCTATTCTTTTCCTTTCCTTTTCTTTCTTTTTTTTTTTTAAGAGAGATTTTTGCTATAGGGTGTGTGCACACACCAGAGAGACAGAAAGTGAGAAATCATTTCCCAGGGGGATGGTCACACTGCCATCCCTTCCCATCCATTCTCCTCTCTCGATTTTGGGCACACATGCACATGTGCCTGGATTGAGTTTTAAGCCTGGGACTTGAACAGCAGTTGACTATGTGTGAGTCCAGTGATGTAACCTCTTTAATTTTTTTTTTAATTAAAGAATTATTGGGAACCAGCAGTTAGCGTAATGGCTATGTCGCTGGACTCCCACGTAGTCGACCGTGGTTCGTGTCCCGGACCCGGTGGCTTAAAACTCACGCCGGGCGCGTGTGCATGCGTGCCCAAGATCCCGAGAGGAGAATGGAGGAGAAGGGATTGCGGCGTGACCATCCCCCCTGGGGGGTGATTTCTCGCTTTCTATCTCTATGTCTCTCTCTGTCTGTCTGGCGAGCGCACGCACCCTACAGTGAAAATCTCTCAAAAAAAAAAAAAGAATTATTTATTTAATTTTATTTGTTGTTATTATTTTTTTATTTGACCAGAGAGAGACAGGGGAAAGGGAAAGTGAGAACATAAGCCACTAGATCCAGGATTCAAACCATTCAAACCGTGTAAGCCATGTGTGAATCCAGCGTCTTAACCACCCCTGCTACCTGCTGGTCCCTCTTTTTATCTTTTTAAAAGTTTACTCATTTATTTCTTCAAAGGGGGTGCACCCCCAATAGGACCGTCACACGAAGAAACACCCCCACAATCTCAGCCAGCCTGGATCATGAGCAAATTACCACATGTATTTCCCCAGCATGCCCAGGGAGGTCCCAGAATGTGAACTCAGGGCCGTTGCCTGACCTAACTTTGTTTTCTGACTGTCAGGATCCTTTTCCTGTAACATGCCAGCACATTAAAACAAGCCCTAATGAGGGGAGAGCAGATGGCATAGTGATTTATGTGCTGAACTCCCCCACATGGTCAACCATGATTTGAGACCTGGATCTGGTAGCTTGAAACTCACGCTAGGCACGTATGTGTGCGTGTCCAAAATCCAGAGAGGGGAATGGAGAAGGAATTGTGGTGTGGCTATCACCCTGGGAAGTGATTTCTTGCTTTCTGTCTCTCTGTTTCTCCGGCAAGTGTATGCGCCTTATATTTTCTCTGGCAAGTGTATGCGCCTTATATCATAAATCTCTAAAAAAAGAAAAGAAAAAAAAAAAGACCTACTGAATCATAAGAACTACTTAATTAGACCATGTAACTGTACTCACAGAAAAACAAAAACACTTTCAATATGCAGGGATGAATCCCTGATTAAACCTTATTACAGATAAATCTTTATTATTTTTTTTTGAGAGGTTTTTGCTATAGGTCATGTGCGCTTGCCAGAAAGAAAGATAGAAAGAGAGAAATCACCCCCCATGGGGGATGGCCATGCCTCAATCCCTTCTTCTCCATTCTCCTCTCAAGATCTTGGGCACGCATGCACACGCGCCCGGTGTGAGTTTAAGCCACCAGGTCCAGGACTTGAACCATGGTCGACTACATGGGAGTTCAGCGACATAGTCATTACGCTATCTGCTGGTCCCAGATAAATCTGCTTTGATCTGACTGATACCAGTGAGAAGAGAACAAGAAAATGACAAGTGGCAGGAGAGAGGATTTGTTTAGTTAAAATCTTTTTTTAAAAAATAATTATTTATTTTATTTAATTTATTATTATTATTTTTAAATTTGACCGTAACAAAATTTTCTTTTTTACTTTTTGGAGAGGTTTTTGCTATAGGGTGCATGCGCTTGCCAGAAAGACAAAGAGAGACAGAAAATGAGAAATCACCTCCCAGGGGGATGGCCACGCTGCAATCCTTTCTCCTCCAATCTCCTCTCAAGATCTTGGGCATGCACGCAAACGCACCCGACATGTTTAAGCCACCGGGTCCAGGACTCGAACCATGGTAGACTACATGGGAGTCCAGTGACATAGCCATTACGCCAACTGCTGATCCCCCTGGTTTAAATCTTAAAGTGGCAAAGGAATCCCAAAGATTAGGTTAAATTACTCATTTACAGGATTACTAATCCTGGCATGTAGCCTCTTTCCTTCCTTACCCAAAATAGTACAGATTTGGAACACTCCCCAAACTTGGAATTGGAGACTGGACAGTCCTGGAAAAACCTGGCTAAAGAGAGTGAAAAAGCTTCTGCTTCATTGCAAGAGATTTCCACTCATGGGATTATGACTCTGTCAACCTTAATGCAGGTTTCTCTCCCTGGTCCTGGATTACAGGTTAGTAGTAGTGGTGCTTGCAAGTCAATTGTTACAGGATTAGAGGATTTGACCTAGGCCGAACAGAACTCCCTTTGTGTCAGGTCCAAAATATGTCCTTAATGTTAAAGTCAGGTCCAAAACACGTCGCTTTACCCAAACAACTTCCTAGAAAAGATTGTGCAGCCAAAGTTACACACCAATGCTAGCTGGTCTTCCTTGGATGGATTCTTTGGATGCAGACACCTGGGCAGTGTACACAGTTTGGGATATGCTATCTGTAAGCATTTCACCAGTTCAGTCTCATGTAGTTAATCTCTGCTCTGTTGTGGTCTGTTATTTCTATTTAACTTCTGGAAGATAGTATTCAACTCCAGACTTGTCCCTACCATTAAGTTGGTCATTTTCTTGGTTGTTTTTGAACTCTTTGTTTGTATTTCATTTTCCTGGTATAGCATTCTGTTCAAAACTTCTTGGAGAGAGCTGGCCTAGTGCCAGTAAATTCTTTCAGGTTTTGTTTATTTGAGAATGTTCCTGTCTTCTCTTCCCATATAAAGGATAATCTTGCCAGGTATAATATTCTTGGTTGAAATTGTTTTTCATTTAACACTTTGAATATATTTTCCCATTCTTTCCTTGCTCTCATTGTTTCCAATGAGAGGTCCACTGTTAACCTTATGGGATATCCTTTGTAAGTAACTTGATGTTTCTCTCTTGCCAATTTTAGTATCTTGTCTTTGTCTGTGGTTTTGGTCAATCTGGCTATAATGTGTCTTGGAGAAGATCTTCTCAGGTTTATTCTATGTGGGGTCCTTTGTATTTCTTGGGACTGGATCTTTGAATGCTTGTCCAGGTTTGTAAAGTTTTCTTCCAGAATTTCATGGAATAGATTATCAATGCCCTTATTAGTCTCTTCACTTTCTGGGATACTGATTATCCAGATATTTGGACGTTTAATGGTATCTAGTATTTCTCGTATATTATTCTCATTTTTTGGATTATTTTCTTAGTTTTCATGGTGGATTTTTCTAGGCCAGTGATTCTGTCAGCTATACCTGAGGTTCGATATTCTGTATGATCTAGTCTGCTTTTAATATTTTCAAGGGAGGTTTTGATTTACTGTATTACAACCTTCATCGCTAACAGTTCAGTTTGATTTTTTTTTTAAGAATTATTTAACTTTATTTATTTATTTTCATGTGACCAGAGAGGGACAGAGTGAGAGAGACAGAGAGAGAGAGAGAAAGAGAGAGAGAGAGCTGTCAGATTCAGGACTCAAACCTGGACAGCCATGTGGGAGGCCAGCGCCCTTAACTACCATGTCACCTGCCAACCCAGTGTTTGATTCTTTTTTATGATGTGTATTTCCTGTTTCAGATTGTGCAAGAACTTCCTCACCTCCTAGAACTCACTGGCTCTTTTTTCCTGCATATTCTGGAATTCATTGTCTCTCATCTCTTGCATCTCTGTTAGCTTTGTCACTGAATATTCTAAATTCTTTATCAGACATCTCTGAGTTCCATGGTACTGTCTGTGGATGAAGAGGAGTTACTCTTTTCTGTTGGAGGAGAGGTATTTTCTTGGTCTCTCACATTTCTTGTGCTCCTGCAGTGATTTATGGTCATCTGATGACTTATATATTTCTAATTTCTTGAAGTTCAACTTGAGCATTCAGAGGTATGCAGGAGAAGGTGATCTGCAATCACTCTGCCGTTCTGTTTTTCTCCCTTTGTGCGTTAGATTTAGTGGGAAATGAGGAATATTCTGACCCTAATAGTATTCTGACGTTCACTTAAATCTGTCTTGACACTGAGCGCACGAAGGCTGAGCAGCTCAAGTTCAGTAAGCATTTCAGAAGGCCTGAATTTTTGACTCTGCTTTCTAGATTGGAGTCTGAAGGGTGAAGTCGCAGTAGAAAACCTTCAGTAGTCAGTCTTATTCCTGAAAGTAATTTTTCACAGCTCAAGTTCAGGAAGCATCTCCTATCCTCCTCTACTTTTGTGTATGTGTGTGTGTGTGTGTGTGTGTGTGTGTGTGTGTGTGTATATATATATTAGAGAGAGATTTTTGCTATCAGGTGCGATCACCCGCCGTGAGCTTGCCAGAAAAACAGAGACAGAAAGTAGAAATCACCTCCTAGGGGGGA